TGTCTGTGGGGGACAAGGACCACAGGGCAGGGGGCACTGCCCACAGACATCTGTCCTTCCAGCCATCCCTTCTTCCATCCATCCATCCATCCATCCATCCATCCATCCATCCATCCATGCATGCATCCATCCGTGCCTCTGTCTGCCTACTCCTCCTCTGGCATGCCAGACCTACCACTTGTATCAGCTGCAATTTCTACTCAGCCATTGTGACTCACGGGTCCTGCTAGGGGCGGGAAGGTTCACAGAGAGGTGTGGGTGAGAAGAGCCCATGCATGCACATGGAGCCTCTCTTGAATGATCCAGCACCCTTTGCAAGCATGGCTCCAACAATCTCTGTACACTCACATCCCTGTTCACTCTGAACCCTACTAATGGCCCCATGGCCAACACACAGCATCTAATACTCACAGGCAGACTCAGTTTTGCCTGTCCTCTTGGACTGGTACCAGATGGTCATGCAGTCATCCTGCAGCTTGAAGTAACGCTGCTTCTTCCAGCTCTTGGACTTGACTTTGCGCATCAGTGTCCCTTGCTGCATCTGCTCCAGTGTGTCTGTGAGCTGGATGCCTGGGGACAGCATGGGCTGCATCACTGAGGGTGGGGATATCCAGGCACTGCACCCTGGTACCTTGTTCCCTCTTGCCTCTGGGACCACGCCTGGTCCCTTGATTTGGGATGCAGGAGAGACAGACCCCAAACAAAGTCCCTTCACCACAGGAGGGGCAGAAGGTAATTCCCCATCAACCCTTCCCATCCACCCTCGGCACTGCCAAGCCCAAACCCCGGTGGCCACAATGGAGTAAGATGTTCCCCAGTGCGGCAAGGTGAGCTCAACCCATGGGCCAGATTTGCCCTGGTGTAAATCCGGATGGCCTGGTGCCCTGCCCTGCACCTCCCCTCCACTGAGGCACTCACGGGCGTTGCACAGCAGCGATGCCATGGTTCTGCCTCCTCCACGCTGATGGCCGCTGGGGAGAGAAGAGAGAAGGCTGCTGGGGGAAGTGTGGCCGGACCCCCCCACTGCGCCTGGGTTCCGCTGGGTGGGTTCTGGCCGTGCCCACGCATGTGTAAGGTGCGTGTGCCCCTGCCCATGTGCGAGCGCACCTGTGCTTGTCTCCTGCTGGGTCATCGCTTTCCTTAAGTGTCGAGTTCACCCCGCCATGCTCATGAAATATTAATTTGTGTTACCGGGAAGCCAGAGCTTGAAAGGTGTCAGAGGAAAACAGAGAAACTTGCAAGTACAGCCACCCTGCAACCCGGCAGGTACCAGAGCCCTGTTGCTCCGAGGTCACTGCTCCCAGGGGAGAAGCGGCCCCAGAAGCCAGGAAAAACTGCCCTGGGGATGCCTGGGAGAGCCAAGAACAAGCCCCCACAGCCTGGAAAATGGCCCCTCAACCAACAAATTTGGAAGTAAGGTCTTACTTGCTGTAACAGCAAGGAAGGTGGTTCAGAGCAGGACCCTCAGCTTCCCCAGCGCCTTCTGCTCAGGGAATGTCAGCACCCTAGGACTGTAACTGCACTGGCAGCTGTACAGGGAGTGTGCTGCAACAAACGGGACTATAAATACAACTGGACTGACAATAAGGCTTTGATTAGGCTGTTAAGATTTTAATTAGACTGACAAATCACTGGATGTGTCTGTCACGCGGGTGCTGGAGCTGGGCCCTCAAGGAGCGGCTGCTGCAGATGGTGGGCTGGGATTTGGGTTCAGGAAGAGACCCGGAGGTCCCTGGGGGCAAAGGGCTCAGTGCCGGGTCACAGGGGTGGCAGCTGTGCCTCAGGCCCCTGACTCAGCACAGGCACCGGTGGTGCAGGGCTGGGAATAGCTGGTGCCGTCAGTGTGCAGGCAGCTGTCAAGCCCGGCTGCCAGACCCTCGTGGGCCCTGGGGCCAGACAGTGCCTGTCCCTTGCTCAGAGTGGGCATGGGCAGAGCAGATCCCCAGCACAGTGCTGGCTGGGGCTGTGTCCCCCAGTCCTGGGGGACACACCAGGCGTGAGGCTGGCAGTGGCCATTTGGCTGTCCCTGGGGCAAGTGGGGACTGCCCATCCATGCTCTTGGGGACGTGTCCTGGAGACACGGAGTGGCTGGGGTGCCATCTCAGCTGCTTCCCAGCAGTGCCCAGTGCCAGGGCTGCGTGTTCCCAGCACCAGCCCTTCTTGCACGGCTCAGACTGCAAATGCAAGGGCGGTGCCTGCACCCTGCCACATCTGATGTGCCAGGGGCCACCGACCCACCGGCCCAGGGCTCAGGGTGCCTGCACCCACAAATGGAAGGGTGGACCACACTCCTCTTGGGCCATGCAGTGGGTGCCCCGATGCCCACTGGCTTGCACAGCCCCAGGAATGCCCCACACCCTGCCCCAGCACGCCCTTATCTCCCCTGAGTCCCGTGGTCCACAGGAAACTAGGGGGGCACAACCCCAGTCATCCATCTGCTTGCACCCTCCTGTCTTCTGGCAGCACCCACTGCCACAGCCACTTTGCAGGGTCACAGCTCCAGGTGACAACCTGCCCCAATGCCCCTGTGCTGCAGCGGGTGAGGGAATGGAGATGGGGATATTTTAGGGAAGCCAGAGTGCAAGGAGAGGCACCGAGGTTGGAGGAAGGGAGGGAGACACTGGCCTGGGACAGGGATGGCCTTGGTGTCACCATGGGGTCTGTCCTCTCTCCACCCTGCCACACATGTGGCAGCATGCAAGGGAGCTGTTTGCAGCCCCCAGGCCTGTAAACCACTCTGAGATTTTGGAACTAAACTGATGTACCTCAATGCCAGCCCTTACAGGCTCTCGGCACAGCCCAAATGTACCCAGCCCTGCCCCAGCTACAGAGCTGTGCCTTCCCTGCACACTCAGCAAAGAAGAGACGATCCTTCTAGTGCAGGGAAGATCCCGTGAGTGAGTGTGGATTCAAGGACACAGCTGTTGGGCTCTCCCCAGCGTGTGAGCAATGCCCCGACCCTGGGGCAGCCTGGCCTCAAGCAGCTCCCTCAACCCCCTCTGAGTTACACTGTCGAGGAGAGCAGGACAGGAGCCAGGGGATGGAGAAACTCAATACACGGGCTTCCCGCAGGGCAGCTGCCTACTGCCAGGGACAGTCCCAGCTCCCCCCGCAGCAGGCTGAGCCACCGCAGCTTCTCTCCGGAAGGTGACAGTCCCTAAGCGGAGCTGGCGGGCCAGCGGGTGTGAGCGCTCCCCAGCCGCTCCAGCGCAGTCCCCCGACAGACTGAAATGCCACCGTGGGGGTGGCCGTGCCAGAGCAGGGAGGGATGCTCCCCTCCCCGGCCACCCCCTCCGCCCCGCTGCCCCGGTGTGCGCACCGGCTGGCCG